CGCATCTGCTTGGGACAAACAACTTACAGTTAAAAGCACAAACGAAAACACTTTTACCTGCAGGCACGCATAGATATTAGATAAGATATTTAAATATTTCTGTTCGCAATATATACAGATATTTAATACCTGCAGCGTTTTTTGTTGGTGCTTCGAACAGTTCATTGCTCGACCCAGCATAAAGATTCAAATTTGTATCCGCCCGCTGCTATACTGCCATGCAGCTGTGACTTGCTTAAATAGCTCCAGCTTTTCAAAAGAGTTCTAGAGTTTCTTCGAGTCTGCAGCGCGCATTTGTAAAAGCGTTCGAAAAGTTGCCTCTCCGTGCGACCTTTCTGAAAGCAGTGCAGGTTTAGGCGACTTTTAACAATGCAGTTTTAAAGCCGGTCAAAAGCAATGAAAACTTAAGAATGCGTTGAGGAATGAACTTTGTGCATGAACGATTAAGATCAAAACTGAAGTCCACTGAAACAATTAAACAAACGATAAAGTAACGGTATACTTACCCAAAGAACCTAAAACGATATCGTCGAACTTCATGAACGGGAACTGGAGTTGCAGCTCTTCTTTGTTAAGCAAACGCACGGAGGCACCAGTTTCTCTAAACAACGCTTCATATGAAACTCTGATACCAGCGAAAATGAAAAAGTCCTTATGGTGCACAAATGTCTTACGAAACTTTGTAAGAAAACCTATACGCAAACGTTACCATGAACTTTTCGCATGACGCAGCAATTACAAAAGAGGCCACGAATAAATGAGAGTGCTTTCCATATAAGCAGTTATGGCAATATAAAAATATTTGAGGTGGAAAATTTACAGAAGCTCATATTTCTGAATGAAACTTCTAGCGTCATCAAATTATATCTTTTCAGCTGTTCTACTGATTCGCTGGTCAGTTCAGAAATCAAATAAACGGAAATTAGTTCGGTATGTCAATGATTACTATATTCGAAAAGCATGAACAGAAAAAAGCTGTAAGTTACAAGAAATTAATAATTCGATGAAGCGCGATAATTCGATGCCATCCTGCATATTCCCCTGTTAGAAAAGTACATTGATGCGATGTTCCTTAATCGAAAGTCAAAATATATGCCATAGTTAAGGGCCAAACGTTTGCGCTATTAAAACGTCAAGAAACAATTTCTTCTGAAAAAGCTTTTTTTGCAAAACTTGCGGCGAAACAACAAACAAAAACGCCAAGTTAATATGTAAGTGACACAGTGTTCCACCGTAAGAAGTAATGCACTGCTTATTTCATTCGCTTTTTGCTAACTAGCTGCTAATCATTGTACTTAAAGGCATTATCATTCAGTATTTCCATTTATTTGCTTTAACTGAGTCAAAAGAAAACAATATTCGCATTCTTCTGAAATCATCACCGGTAAACGCATCTCTTAGCATAGCAGGTATTTCTGTGATGTTTTCTGATTTAACTACGGTGTCAATCAAGCTTCAACTGTACAAACTTCGAACTTTCAACGCATCCGGTTAACAGAAATAAGTTGAAGCAATCAAATCAGACATTGTCTAACTCTGTGGGTATGATTTCTTATAAATGCGCATATTCCTAGGGTACATAAATCGATACTCCCTCCTATAATTTTTACGCATTCGCAAGGGTTGTTGTAAGTGTATAAATTAACTCGGACGATCCTAAAATGTTCATCTGCGGAACAACCTGCAGTGAAAACCTAAACCAACAACTGCAGTGGCCTAAACAGTGAATATCTGTGACATATATCAACATCTGTCATAATGAAAAAACTATGAGGGTGACATACTCACGTGATAAGAAAACCTGATGACGTGAATACGCTAACAACTTTCCCAGAATCCAGACTGACGACACGACAAAACGACAGACCTCAGCGTTTAAAACTGATTCTCTAAAGTTCCTTCCACTCAGGCATCAGTCGTTATCAAAGAATATAAAAGGAGGCAAAAATGCAAATGATAAAGCATATATCACGTCCTGCTCTTTGATTAATAGAGAATTAATAAGCCTCCATGACACAGATACGTTGGATGAGCTTCCATACTCAATACTTTCGTTGGTTTAATTAACAGCGAAATATAATTCCTGTAAAAACAGGTTTAACAGTCCTCCACGCGTGTTAGACTCATTTAGCTATAATAAAACCACATCTCCACCATGTACTAACAAAAGCATGGTTGCAGCAACGACAGAGAATGACATACGTAATACATACACAGAGCATCTGTTAAACGTCTTTCTACATCTAAAATACATACGGCATGCTGTATTCGAGGATCAATACGTCTGTGTGGCAGATGCATCTCTTTCTCTTAAACAAATTTGCCTTTAAAGTATTGGAAGTCTGTACGCCGTCGGTTATCACTACCTGATTAATCAACCAATTCACAAATTATAAGTCTACAAGGTTAGCGTAATGGCTACGGCAACATACACAAAACCGTATTCTACCTTGGCACGCTTTGCATATTTCCATCGTCACATGTTCTTCATGACGTGGACATGAGGTTGATTTCATAGATAACTATATACGGCAGTGGACCAATTACAGCAAAGCTCTTATGCTCTAATGCAGATGCGACACAGTTTGCACCATGTTGCGTCCTGATCCTACTATATTTTGTATTCTTTACGGCGGATGATGTATGCCCAGTCTAAACGTCGAATTCGATATTTCACTGTTTTTTAATCGACTTAATACGCAAGGATGCTCAACCTCTGCCGGTGGCACTCACCCATTTTCAAAATCTATCGCATTTTTAAACAACTCAGGCCATAAATGCTACGATTCGTTTCCAATTTAGCACCATAACGCCAGATGGGACAATGATCAATCACTAAGAGAAAACAGCAATAACTCGCAAAATGAAAAGATCAACTCCCATAAACGGAGCGATGTGAAAAAATTACATTTGCATCTTGTGATGCTTTTCCATCGCTTTTGCCGTGTCTTCGTTGCTTGCCAGAAATAAGGAGTTCATTGGAGTGAAACGAAAAGGAGGAATGTCGTTGTCTAAATCAACAGAACAGTCGCAATACACTAAATGCAAATGGCTGGCAATAGATTAATCCCATTACCCAGTATCCGCAGGTGTTCGTCAGCGTTGCGCAAAAACTCAGCTGTAAACAACGACATCTGTACCTGCACCGGGTCGCTAAACTGCTGCCAAATGCCACCAGGGGAGAGAACCGTTGTGCTTTCCGCAAACTGAACAATTTGAATTAAAATTGTCATACAACTCTTTTGCAATCACTCAATCAAAAACCCAGTTTAAAAAGTTTAAGCATTATCGATTTTAAGCAGCAGACAAGTAATACAGAAGTATTTAAAAAATATATATACAGCTAAGTTATATTCAGCCCAAACCGTAGTTACTTGCAAAAAAACAGGTGCGTTGCATAAACAAGCGTGGCGCCTTTTAGCCATGGCAAACACCACAAAATTCATGTTAAGTCATAAAACGCTGCGGCATAGATTGATGTGCAATAGACATTTTCTAAATTCTTTATCAAAACAAGCAAACGAAGCGTAAAATAAATACCTGTCGAGCAATGCCATGGTTTTAAACGATAAATAAAAAAATATTCCGCGCCAAAAGTCACTGTGCTGCTAAGGAGATAGATGATGTACAAGAGGCATTTTTCCACTTCATTGCTTGTCAAGGGAGATAAACGGAAATGATGGTTTGCGTTTCGCGGTACGCAAGTAGATCCACATGAGGGTATTTTTGTTAACGGCTACTTTGGGCCAATTTGTTCGTCGCATTCCAGCCTCGGCTAACAAGTTTTTAACGATTAAGTGAATGGATTGCGTAGCAAGACACACTGAATTGAAAGAATTTTCCTTGCTTTAAAATTTCTTTCAGAAACTCTGAAACACCCAGCCAACGAGGCAACAGTAATTACGGGCTGCCAGTCCTTTTTTTAACGTCCTAAAGATAAACTTTTCTGAAAGAATAATGCTTCTGTTACAAACCCGGGCGGAAGAATTGAGGAACCATCATCGGTATTAGTCGCGGATGAAAGCATAGTTAAATATTCTGTATTATAGCCTCTGATAGAGAACGATCATTCGTGGATAGAACTTGACACCGCTCCAGACGAGAGCATCAAAAAACGAGAAACATAATCTATCATGCCACTTTAATGGTCAAGACCAAAACACGCGGCAAAAACGCAGCTGAAATATGTAACCGCTGCCCTCGTTCTGATAAACAGCAAGTGACAGTAATACCGCTGTTTCATTTCATTATGAACAGCCAATCTGCATCAAGAATTAGCAAGATTAACGCAAGATGCTAAACAAAGAATCTTACGAAACTACAAACAGATTACGCAGTACCTTACTGTCAGCTTCTAAGACGATCAAACGCATGTCATCATCTCTCAAGCGCTCCTTTATCCAAAACGCGACAGCAGAACCAACCAGACCACCGCCAATTATAGCGAACGTACACTCGACCGGAATCAGTTCCTCGTCAATGACACTTTTCAAGGCATACGTCAGCCTTCCTCTACGTTTGTAGTAGTCGTATTTTGCGAGCAAATAGCGCCGCTTCATTCGCTGAAAATACATGAAGTACAAAAACATCAGTTCATGTCGTGACGCATAAAATGAATTTCATCAATTTACATGCCATCATCTGATCAGCCTTCAAAGTTGCAATCGAAAATAAAACGTATTCTCGGAAACAACCCAGTTTCCAAAACAATAAGTTGTCTAACTCTCTGTGAATGAGAACAGCCGGATGCCGATTCTAATTCCTCTTTGTCATCATATTTATCTACGACTAACAAAGTTTGGACAGCAGAACAGCACAGATGAATTATACATGAGAATAACAATGACGAACTCCGCTGCTGCCTGTCTAAAGCCCGAATGAGAAACGAGGATGGGTGACAAGGACCGCGAGGTTTTCTAAACTAAGTCAACTGTCCATCATCGTATTGCCGTTACTGAAGGCGAAGTGAATTCGGTTCTCATTTGGGTTACCAATGGCTGCAAGGCTATTGGATAACTGAGGGAAACTACGAAAAGTCGGTGATCAAAACCTCCTTCTCGCCTTCTGGCAACTGACAGCGTAGCACCACGGCAACCGCTGCCGCGTATCGATGAAACGACAACGAAGATACCAGTCATCAACGGAGTCGCTACCCGTTCTGAACGGAAGAGGCCGACAGGACGATGTCACTACAGCACGTTAGAAAAAGCTGCACGGGAACGATACCAACGGTGGGAGCTCACAGTCGGAAATTGAAACATATTTTCAGTCAGAGGGAAACAGTAGGAGCTGTTGATGACGCCGCAAGGTACAAACTCAGCATAATCTGACTCTCGTCAATGAAGTGCCAAAACTTTGGAACTATGAAACTCTGCAGGTGAAGGCCATTCTACCTAGATGCCGATTCTATGATTCGCGCTCAGACC